TTTAGGGTTGCTTTGATGTTTAAGTTGATTTTCTGTATATGTTATGTTTTGGCCAAAAATGTCATATCTCTGATTGCAGCCCATTATTGAGCCCAAGCCATAGTAGTTTGTAATACCACTTAGTGCTGTGCTCCTGAATTGTTAATTCCTATTTAAATGTGTTATGGTACAAATAGAAACTAGATCACGTTAGCGCTGACGAACTAGTTACAATCTTTTGGATATATGTTAAGTTGATACAGCATGGGTGTTATAGTCCCTGTTCCTCTATTGTTCGATATAAACCTAGAGAACTTCTTCTTCCTTGTCCTTGCCCTTGAGTTATCTTTAAACAAGTCCTCCCACCCAATTTTGAAAACTTTGAAACTTCACCTTTCTCAATTTTGAAAGATATGATGCCCAGAGATGCTCCGGTGTTTAAATGCACATAGACTTGTTAGGATAAGTTTCCCCTTTGGCCCAACATGATGAAACATTGTATTTTGATTATTTATTTTTAATTTTGCACAACAAAATGGGAACATACAGGAAGCTTTATAGTATTCTTCTGGTGGCCAAATTTATTGAAGTGGAAGTTCTGTTTTGTGTTTCTAACAATTATGTTAATATTTTCAATAACAACTTGTAACTTTAAAGGAACTTAATTTCCTCTCAAGCGTACTATTGGACAAATGCGAAAGTGGAAAATTCTTTACTTGGAGAAATTTAGAAGTTTGGAGTTCAAGTCGTCCGTGCTTTGAAATAGATGATTTAAATCACAGATTCAGGGGTAGTAACCATTGGCAAATGTGGCAACTGATAACAACTTTCACATTTCTAAATATCTTCTCAAGGGAACATGCAGGAAAATAGCAATGCAAAGCTCTTCAGCTGGGCAAATTTAGTTAGGTGGAGATTTGCAATGCAAATGTATACTGTGTTGAAGGCTTGATTTGTCTTGCGGATGTTGGGTACTGGCAATTGTGGGACAATGTCAGAAACAACTCCTAACTTCAAAGAATGTCATCGGCCTCTGTTATAGTATTACCTCTAGTAAAAGAAAACATTTGCTTTTCTTTATAGTTTGTATGTTTTGTTGGTTGGCCGTTATGTTTTGATAGACTTGAGCGTTTGGCTTGAGAGAGATGGTAGTGTTATATTATTCTGCTATAGAAACTATGAGCAAGTGAAATTACAGTACAGGACTTGTGAAAACAAGGTCATAATCTAATTAAGGTTTAAATTGGTATGCAATTGATTGTGCTCCTTTTGAATGATTTTGCTCTGGAATTTTCCTTGGATTCCAGAAAATATCAAAATACAATCCGTAGGATGAACAAAGTGAAATGTTCAATGTGAGATGCAAAGATTTTTTGTTTCCTGTAGTTATTTTGTTGGTTTTTTGTGTGGGTAGTTTGTTCCATTTTTTGCTTGGATATTTCGTATGCGACCATAGAAATGTATTTTACAACTTTTGAGACATGAAGAGACATATTGTTGCTAAACTTAACTCTAGTCAAAGAGGGTGCATTACCATGCTTTGATTCTAATGCAGTGCAAGTTTTTAGGTTGGGGTTGCAGAGATGAAGGTTGCTATTTGAAAGAAAGGTGGCCTTGTTGTTCTAGCCGAAAGTTTTGGTCATTCTGTTTTTTAAAGACTCTTTTAGGCGCGTTTTTGAAGAAGGGGAACAAGCACTTGGTCTCTCCTTCAAGTGAGTTTCTCAATATTAAAAGTTCCAAACTTCTTAAATTCTTCATTAATCTGTTTTCCATTTATGTCTTGTTTAGGCACTATGTGATTTTGAGGGACTTATTCTTTACAATTCCCTTATCTCATACATTATAGATGGTATTGTTTTGGATATATATTTCATGGATTGCGTATGGTTGAAATGACTGTTCCTTTAAAACCATATACCATAAATAACATAATCTGGTCTGTTAATAGTTATCTGATTGGTTGTGGCAAGTTCGAAGCTTCATTCTATGATTCTAGTTACATGTTATGTGTGTTTCTCTCTCCAAATGTGTATTATTACTTTGAGCTTCATAGTTTGTGTCAGAGATGTGTGGTTTATTGTGTGAGAAAGATTATTTATATAATATACATGTGAGATGTGCCTATGTTATAATTCTTTATATAATATGCATGTGCGATGTGCCTATGTCATAATATTAATCCATACTCCTGTCATAACATTAATCCATACTCCTGAGCAAATCTATTGGCTACTAATGGAGCTTTGTATCTTTCCACAATGCCATGTGATTTTGTTTTGATCTTATAAACCTACTTACAACCAATGCGGTATTTGTCAATAGGTAAAGGAACTAATTCCAAGTTCAGGTGTTATGTAAGGTAGATAACTTCTCATCCATAGCCTGTTGTCAAAGGGGATCAAGGATAGCCTCCTTATAAGAGGTGGGCTCAGACAAAGAATGAATAGAAGTGAGAAAGACTCATAAGTTAGAATAATAATAAGAGTTGGAGAAATCAAACCTATCTAGACATATCTAATAGCGATGAGGATAGCGAGAAACATGATCCACAATGCCAGAACTTGATTGAGTGATAGAATTAGAAGAGAGAGGCGCTGAATTTGTAGAAGAGACAATAATTATGAAGTGGATGCAACTTATGGTATTAGTGGTGTGCATGTCATGCCCTTATGGAAGCAACATTATGTATTTTTGCATCTGCTATTTGGCTTTGATTCATCGGCCAAGTAAGTTGCTTTAAAAGAGTGGACTCTGAATTATATAAAAGATGACCTGAATTAAGTCAGGAAAGGTGTGCAGTGTTGTGTATATGTCTACGTGCGTACCCTGATATCTTTTTTCTTCTGTTTTACTATTTGCTTTTGAGTTTCCCTTCATCCTAGTAATGGAACATGTTTGTTTTTCAAAGTAGCCTGTAAATCAAAGACTCACTAAATTTCTTTTTTCTCAGTGGCACACTTGAGATAAACTGTTCAAAGGATATCAAAGTTCAAGGGATCATTGGACCTTGCACGTCTTTGGAGAAGGTTGGTTAAATGTCATTGACTTGATTTATCTGAAGCAGCTTTAATTGGAAACAGACAATTTTTTTCTGCTTTGAATGCCTGGTAGGATCTTCTGATCTAAATTGTTATTTGTAAGGTTGATACTGATTGCTGCAAGCCTTGCAGAAAGGACCTGCTGTTGCCAGCACTGTTATTGGACAGGGGAATTCTACAGCTTGGAAGATGTGTGGCCTTGAAAAAAGTACTTGCTTGACTGTTTTCTTTGATATTTCATCTAGTGAAAAATCGGATCCTTCAGGAAATTTAAATCCACAGTTGTACATACAGTTTCTTACTAGGTATGCTGGAAAATCTTATTGGTTGGGTTCTTTTTGTGTTTAAAATATAGCTTATCTGCTTCTGCACTGGACATTGGTTTTTTTCTGGGTTTTTGCAATAGTTGTTACAACTCTTGGGCCTAAGTTGTACTGCTTTACCTTTCTAAAAGGGCACAAGTATTGCTTGTGTTATGATTGAATTTTTTGTTGGCCTTGGATTTAAATGCAGTTATCAGAGCTCTGATGCCAAACAAGGTTGCAAGTTACAACCATCACTAGAAGGTGGATAGATAGTGCTGTAGGCTCAGAGGTATTGTAGTGAAAAGTTCAAGTTCTTTTTCTTGTTTTTTGTTCTGTGGGTTCCATTTCTTTTTGATTACCCATATGTTTTACATTAATATTTTTTCCGGAAAAGTACACAAATTCTTATTAGTATTTAATCTATTATATTTAAGAAGAATGGACATGTGGGGTTTTATTTTTCTTTGGTGGTGCTTTTTTGTTTATTAAGATAGATTACACATCCTTAATAAATCATCTCTATATGGTACGAGCCAATTTTGTTTGAAAGAATAGTTCTTAGCCCCCCATCCAAAAAAAAAAGAAAAAGGAAAAAGAAAGAATCAAAAAAAAAAAAAACACACACACACACACACACACACAAAAGGGAAAACCAAATTTGGGAAAACTTGAAATGTACTTATTTACGGATAGAAGGTTTTATACAATCTATCCTTGGCACTTTGAAAAACTAGTCTCACCAACTGGAATTTGCTTTAACCACATACTGAAAGGTATGCACTCTCATTTGCTGTGATCACATGCCCCTGGAGAGGCAAGTTGAAGATTTAAACATCTCCTTGCTTAATATAGTTGTATTGTCTTGCTTTTGTGCTGTCTTTATTTTATTTCTAGCATTCTTTATTTCTGGTCCTTACAGTCATGGGGAACACAAAGGAATCGGCTATCTTGGGTGGAAGTATTATTTTAGGAATTTAATTTTGGGCTATTTTACTTGATAGTTTAGGAAATTAAATCTTATTCCGATTTGGTTATCTTTGGGAGTGCCTGTATGTCTGGGGCTTATGTATTGGAAATCTCAATGTTTGCCATGGACGCTTCCTCTCTCACGTTGCTTTCTTTCTTTATTTTTCTGTTCCTCGCCTTCTCTATTCTTCTCTCTCTTTGTTGACTCGTTGCTATCTGCCTACTCTCTCTAATTCTTTCTTGTCCTTCATGGTCTGCAGTTGATACCTCAATGATTTTCAGAGTTGAGCAAATTTATACTCATTTGTTTACTTGACATGATTGTGACGATTTTAGGAGCCTTTATTTGTTAATGCATGATGTGTTTTGTCCCTCGCTATTATATTCTATATCTCATGAAAAATATTGATGAAGGATCTGGTTTCCTTTTAGCACTTGGCATGGTGGGGCTGTTTTGTTGGGTTGCATTTTTGAAGTTCTGCTGGTTTCCTTTTAGTACTTGGAAGGTTGATACTGACAGAAGAATAATGTCTTTGCAGGAATTAGTACAAGGATTTGATCAAGAAACTGCAGCTGTAGTAATGGCAAGGTTGATTTCTTATAAAATGGAGATTGAGGTACTTCTGCTATGTTAAGCTTTTGCTTGGACCAGCATGCAGATGCACGAAGACATATCGTCCATATAGTTCAGCTCTTACTGCATTACTCAGTTGTGGCCTCACTTGTACTGGCAATGGTCTCATTCATGAGTGTTCTATTGTCCTTTATCACTAGGATGAACAATGGAGATGGCGTTCATGGGGGCTATGTTCTATTGCTTTTTTACGAAAGGAATTCGCCCGGATGACTTGAATACACAATGACAAGCAGTCCCCCTCCCCCCACTAATATTGCCATTCTATCTAGTGCAAATGATTCTTTTTCCTGCTCATCTAAGTGCAAGCTGCATCTGCTTGATTATATACCATTGTCTTTATTATTCTTGCTTTTATCATTTAGTGTATGGCTGAACTTAAAACCTATCCATGGATTTTGTATTTGCCAGGAAGGATTTGATGCCACACGGTGGTTGGATCGGAACCTTATTCGACTCTGTTCCAAATTCGGTGACTACCGGAAGGATGACCCAGCCTCATTTACATTAAATCCCAGTTTTTCATTGTTTCCTCAGTTTATGTTTAACCTGCGGCGATCACAATTTGTGCAGGTAATTATGACTTCTGATTGACCCTTTTCCTCTTATTTGTCAACGTTACGATATGTCTATTTGTGTGTCATCTTGCTCTTACTTGAATTTGTAACTTTCATCCTTTTCCTCTTTTGGTTCAATCTTTCCAATATATTTTGTGTAATCTCTCTCTCTCTCTCTTTGGCAGGTGTTTAACAATAGTCCAGATGAGACTGCCTATTTCCGCATACTGTTGAACCGTGAGAGTATAATTAACGCAGCTGTGATGATTCAACCATCACTAATGTCATATTCATTCAATTCGTTACCTGCACCAGCTTTGCTGGATGTGGCATCCATTGCCGCTGATCGTATCCTATTGTTGGATTCATACTTCAGCATTGTTATTTTCCATGGAATGACAATAGCTCAGTGGAGGACCATGGGCTATCAGAACCAGCTAGAGCACCAGGTATTTGAACGTTATTTTCATTTTTGTCCTTGAACTGGACATTTGGTGATCACGTGAAAGAAACGGTTGAACCAAAAAAGTGAACTAAGGCCTTGGGTAGAAGCCCAGCTGCTTGATCTTTTTTTGAGATAAGAGTAAGGGGTCCCCAGGAATAATAATTTGAGTTAATTTTTGCTCTACTGATGCCTATTCCCCTCCCCCCCCCCCCCAAAAAAAAAAAAAAAAAAAAAACAAAAAAAACCCAATAGGCATTTGCACAGTTATTGCAAGCTCCGCGTGACGATGCTGAACTGATCATCCGTGAGCGGTTCCCTGTCCCAAGATTGGTTGTGTGCGATCAGCATGGCTCCCAGGTCGTCTTTTTTACCATAATCTCAGTCTCATTATGATTTGCTTTGCCATGACATTTGTCTGTTTACATGTCGTTATCAGTAGTTTTCTTAAAACTCTATAGTTGTTGAGTCCTGTAACTAGGGGCAGATAGAAAACAACTGTGGCTTTTGTTGAACTTGTGAATCGTTCAGGAATAAGTGTAGACCAAGGATTGTGCTTGCGTATGGTAGTGAAAGCTTTAGGGTAGGCATGTTTGTTACTAGCCAGCCAAAGGTGTTATTACTTATAAAAGCATAAAATGAGATAAAGACAATGAAATATTTATAGATCACAAACAAGAATACTTGTTTGTGGAAATTAGAAGATTATTAGAATAGTGACACCAAGATCTGATTATTATTTGATGTTTGATCGAGTTATATAATGGTTTAGTTTGAAATGATAAGAACAGCAATATTTTGGTTAGCTACAAATTAATGGAAATTTGGCATATGCCTCGTGTTCCTAGAAGATCCTGAACTTCTTTTGAGACTTGATTAATCGTTTTAACACCTTCCCTTTGGAGACGGCTTCAAAGCTTTCATGATATTAGCTATGCTCGCATCACACTTCTGGGCCAGTGTTATAGTCGACCATGAAAGAATGTTGGAAGGTGATAAATAATATTCCGAAATCTGTTTGACTTGCTGGTGCAGTAATAGTTTTGGTCTATATATATTTAGTATATAACTGTCAGCAGTCCATATGGAAACTGAAACGCACTGGTATATTTTATCTTTATCCCGTTTTCATTGGTTGTTATTTTTGTCATAGAACTTCTTGTACAAGGATATTATCCCGGAAGTTATATGACAGTGCAGGTGCACAGCAGCATTATTTTGCCTTACAACTCCTGAAGTATTTCTTTTAGGTTTTGTGTAAGCAAAGTGTTTTTTTTTTTTCCCTTCAAAACTCTCTCCATTGAGTCCATACTTGCACTTGGTGCTTTTGTAGAAGTCCCGTACTGTTTGATGACATATATCTAATTAGATGATCCAAGCTGTATAGCTGAGCCCCAAATTGTTTGAAATTGGAGTGTACTACAGTGCCTCTCTGGATGGGCATTAACGAATTATGGTGTTGTTTAGTTGCGAAAAGACCACTTGTGGTTTCAAAATTCCTCAGAATGTCCGTTTTCCCCAAAAACTCGTAGATAGTTAAAACCAATTTTTTGGCATCATGGGGAGGGTGCTCTGACTGGTGTTCTGGTTCATCTTGCTGATATTGGGGGACTCAAATTTGTCTCTAAATTTTATGACATGTTGAGCAGGCAAGATTCCTTTTGGCCAAGTTGAACCCGTCTGCAACGTACAATAATGCTCATGAGATGGCTGCTGGTTCAGACGTGATCTTCACAGATGATGTGAGTCTTCAAGTGTTCTTCGAACATCTTCAGAGGTTGGCTGTGCAATCTTCTTGAGACCCAAAAAATAGACTTATACGGTTGGGGTTCCTGGTTTTGTGACAATCCCACAGTGCGAGTTCTCATCCTTCTCTGCTTATACTCTTGTCCCATCTGTATCTTTCTGTCAATTGTGCATGAGATGAGAGAAGAGACCCCATATTTATTTTGAGCAATAAGGAAATCACTTTTATCATTCTTTGGGGTGTGAAGGGGTACTTGCTTCCATTCGATAATAAGAGAGAGAGGTCTGTAGTTTTGAGTTATATGGGAAAGCAAGGATGAGAATGCAAACTAAGAGGCATCCCTACTCCAGTAGCCGGGCCAGATCTCTCGGGGCAATATTTTCAATTTTTCATTTTCTTTTTTTTATTTGTAAGTCGCCACCCAGGTTAGATGTTTGTCTTTTTTGTATTTGAATACAAGGTTACATAGTTGGAGTCAAGGCTTCCATGTTGAGAAATTCGGGAAGTTTCTACCTTTTTTCTGTTGTCTTATCTTTTAAAGTACGTTATACACAGTTAAACACACCCCCTACCCCCGCCGTCTTGATATGTATGTGCCTATATAAAGGGAGGGGAAATGTGCATGTCTCCCCGTAATTGTGGGGTGTGGAGAGTAGTTGTATTTAATCTTATCTCTGCATTTAAGGTGGTTGATTTGGTGATTTAAACCTTTAATGTCCAGATCTACATCAAACCTTTGATGGAGAGAGAGAGAGAGATTTTGTGACAGCTTTGAATGGAAAATTTGGCTTGCTCCCCCTAGGAGCTGTACGATTACAACTAACAAGAATAAAAAGGGGGTGATTGCACGTAACTACTAACTAGGGGTCAGTAGGTGATTTTATAAAATTATGGGATTAATTTGAATTTTTTTTAAAACTTGCACCCACACTAAAAAAAAAAAGTACTCAATGATTATTAATCATCTTCTTGTGAGATGCGATGAGTATTGATGATCGGCGTTCGCTTATGCTCTCATAAATGGCTGTCTGTGTCAGTATTCTATTTTCCCCTTTCATTACATCTCCTCTCATTTGTTATATGTTTTGGATCTTGTAGTTTGAAACCCTAACTTTGAAATTAGGGTTTAAACCTTTTGAGGAGTTCTAGAGTTCCCTTTTACAGAATTTTAAATATAAATTATGGCTTTTCCCTCAACCTAAACAGAGGAAAGTACAAGACAAGAGACAAATTAATATGTGAAAATTACAAGATTAAATAGAATCCGCCAACTTTCTCCCCCTTACAGAGCATCACGGGCGGCAATTCGGCAAACTATAGCATCAGCAGTCGATGATATCCCTAGTTCCACATTAGATATCTTGTAGTGCCGAAGTAGACCATTATCATCAATTTAAGAAATAACAGTAAAAGCAGCATAAGTTGGTTGAAAATCAATAACCTATTGGAGAATTGCCGGTTTGTGTGTGAGAGAGACAAGACCCACAAACCTTTTGTATGTGGGTTTGATTTGCCCACCCTTCCAATTCATCTAAATCGATCTCCTTACCTTTGATAAGTTTCTCTACAGCCGTCATCTAGTCATGTAAAAAATGTACATGTATCTTCCCCCATTTAAACAAAGTGCAAACATCAATGATCATGGAACTCTGCAAAACATCATCGAATGACACCGTGGTTTTACCTCACCAGTAGAAGCACCAAAACGGGCCACGAGGACGTAATGTGAGTTGTCCGAGATGCCACATCTTTTCAAAGATAGTAGTAGGTAAATAGAATATATTCATACATGCTTAGAGCCAGAGTAGTTGTAAACAAGCTCAGAATGCAGAGTACGTGTTGTCAATGATTTGGATATAAGAGTCTTATGCGCAGCTGCTCGAAGAGGGATAACATCTGGGATTAGTTTAAAAGATCCATGGAAGTTTTGAAGCATATTTGGGGCAGATAAAACTATGCCTACAAGTGATGCATTGAGAAATGCAACTTCTGGTTCCAGCTTGCATTAAATCCAGAAGTTCTCTGCAAGAAAAGAGTTTATTAGGCACTTGATTTCTAGCAAAGATTTTCTTTGAGCCATGCTACCACCATAAACAATAAACGAAATGCCCTTCCAGACATTCTTTGTTCATCTATTTTGATATAAAGCCCTTGCAGACGTTTTAATATATGATTTCATCTTTAAATCTAAAGTTAGAAACTATTGTATCTCATTATTGCAGCTCCGGAAGAGGTTTTTTTGTGCTTGTGAAAAAAAGGGTTGGGGTAAAGGAGAGAGCAGAGATCACCCCGATAGACCTTCTCTCCTGACTGCACCCGTTACTCCTCTCGGGAACGAATCTAATTAAGTTAGCGTGGTCAACTACCGAGCCCAATGTGAACTTTAAAACTCGAACCTCCAACTTTAGGGTGAGAAATTCGACCGATACTCCACTGAAGCACCCCACTCGGTTGTGCAGTGGTTGGAAATTGCTTTTGGATCCTTTAATTTTTTGTCAATATTCTTGCTTTTCAAATACTGGCCCCTTTTAGGTTATGTATCTTCTTATCGTGGCTCCTATCAATCTTCTACTATATCTTGTATCTTGTTCCTCTCTTGATTGATTCCAGTGGTTTTGAATGTCTGATTTTGTTCACATGGCCACTATTATGGGCAAAAGGAAGATTACCTTCAAAGTGTCAATGAAGCAAGTTGTCTTTGTACTACACTCATTATGAGACATCCAGGCAACACAAGAAATAGACCTTCACTATGGGAAACCCTTAACAGAGAATAACAGTAGGGAATTGCAAGAGCATTCAGGAAGATATGACCTACAAATTCTGGCACTTCCCAATGAAATCCAACATGAATAATAACAGAAATACATGATAAATTATAGATGACACCAAAGCCCTAAGAGAGGATACATTTTCAGAACCTATATTATCCAGGTTTCTTTTCTATCTGATGCACCTCTGTTTCAGAAAACAAACTTCTCCTCCTCTAGTTGATCAAATTGTAAGGCTTACTACAGAGAACAAAATTATTTCTGAACTTGTAAACCAAGTTAACAGTCCTCCAGAGGTTCATGACTTGGGCAGCAAAAGCTTAGTTGATTTTACCTTTCGAAACCCATGTGCACATGCCCCGTGATACAAAGCATGAAATGAGGAAAAAAGATAGTAGATGCAATGGTGCTATCAATAGGGGAACTTGTATGACACTCAATAAGAAATTCGACCTCACTATACATAACAAGGAAACAATGCCCCCAACCTCCCAGCATATTAAATGCCATCAAGGATGCTAACAATAGGGAACTTGTATGAGGCTCAAAAGCTATTTGATACTCAAACATTCATTCCTTAGATATAAAACGGTTCAACGTCTATATATATAGTAGATACACAAAAAAAAAAAAAAAAAAATAAAAATAGGCTAATTGCAATTATTTACAATTTATTTCGATGAATTTTTATATTCTAAAAACGTTGTATGATAACTTTATTAGCAATACTATGGACAATATCTTTATCTATATCAATAATCAAGTCACTCTGCTGATTATTCAAATTAGTACTCACAATTTTCATGAATTAAAAAAATGAAAAATGTGTCCAAAAATTCAGAGTTTATTTGATGTGTCTATCTATACTACTTGATTGTCTAAGAAATTGATAGTGTGGACAAAAAATATGCACCATGAGATATACGTATATACTATTTTTTTGAAAAAAAACATTAAGGTGGGCTCGTACCCCCCTGGTCCACTACTGGCTCCGCCAGTGCGTATTGGTGCCAAAAATGTAAGCACTATAATAGAGATAAACTACAAAAGTAGCCTTTTCTCTCTCTCTCACGAAGCTCATCCATAAGAAGAGAGATACTCAAGGTACTAGTGAATAGCAGATTCCATGAACATTGTTAGGCATTCCAATATTAGAGCAAACCACTATAGAGAAGGTCAGTCAAATTCACTTCATTGTTTTATGGGAAGATATGAGATGTGTTGGTGTTAGTTCTTGGAAGGCCCCATCCATCTTCACTGTTTTTCAAGAAAGGAGCTTGGGAAAGGATCGGATGAGAGCAAGAGCAACTGTAATACGGCATGACACAAAGGTGGACTATTACATATTCAACCCATGGGTCCAAGACATTGAAATTATGTTTTAAAGTGTAAAAATGATAAATTCAAAAATAATTTATGGTCAAAAGTTTCTCAAAACTACTTAAAGCATGGTCAGCCGCCAAACCTTCTACTATGCGGGTAATTTTTTGGTACTGAAAAAATCAATGTCGTACCGAAAGTTATAATTTTTAATAATTAAATTATATTTTTTAATGGTAAAATCACCATTGCTCGAAGAAATTCACGATCAATCAAGAAATACCATGATTGATAATGAATGAAAGACCATTAACGATCATGAATTTCTTCAACTTCTATTTTAGAAGTCAAAACTTAACCCTTAGAAGTTATTAATTTTATGATCAATCACACTATTTTAGAACCGATCATACCCTTTACATGTTGTAACTTATAGAAAAAAAGAGTAATGCTATACTAATCAAAAAAATAAAAAGTGGAATCAACAGCACCATTTTGTCTCTATTTTTTGTTCATATAACATTACTCAAATAAAAAAATTATAACTTAACTTAAAAAAATAAAAATAAATTTTCGTTAGTCTTTCCCCTATTACGCCACATGACATGAGCTCTTACATGAGCGTTTCGTACTCGTGATGCCATAATCAACTACTTTGACCATTAACGTAAGCTCTTACTAAGCATTTTCGTGACTCTGCTCCTCCTTTAAATACACTACACCACCCCTTCTTCCTTCACCATCAATCTGCTCTTGCCATTTCCAGGGAGAGAAGCTGCCATTAGCTGAACAAAAGTTCTGATTAACGAAGAACAATGTCGATGACAGTGCTCAGAAACAAATTGGGTTCACAAGGCCTGGAGGCATCACAACAAGGGCTGGGTTGCATGGGAATGTCGTTCGGCTATGGCCCGCCCAAGCCTGAAGATGACATGATCAAACTCATCCACCATGCCATTGACAGTGGCGTTACTTTCCTCGACACCTCCGACACCTATGGTCCCCATCTTAACGAGATTCTTATTGGCAAGGTACTTTTGTTTCTCAACACAATATCTATGATAAAACTTTTGTTTACCCCTATTAAAATCTCTTTGCTCCTCACTGTTTCACTTCTCATAATGGCACACCTATGACCTATCTTCTCTGTGTGTGCGTATGTGTCTGATGGATGAGTTGATGGATCCAATTAAGTGCAGGCTTTGAAGGGAGGGTGGAGAGAGAAGGTGCAGGTGGCTACAAAGTTCGGGGTCGAGATGGTGGATACAATTAAAGTATTGACTCATGGTGAGCCAGCATATGTGCGAACTGCATGCGAGGCCAGCTTGAAGAGGCTTCAAATCGATTGCATCGATCTCTACTACGTTCATCGAATCGACACTAGCATTCCCATTGAAGTCACTGTATGTCAATCGGTCTACCTTTTCGTATAGCTATCTTACATCACTATAATATGCGATGGAAGCTGTTATTCTCCTTCTTATAATTTGAATTAGTATTTCGATATTTCCAGTAGTAGTTTTCATTTGCATTTTTCCTTGACCTTTTAAAACCAACTTGTTGATAGGTTGGAGAACTCAAGAAATTGGTTGAAGAAGGTAAAATAAAACACATAGGTCTATCAGAGGCCTCAGCTTCAACTATCAGAAGGGCTCATGCTGTTCATCCAATAACCGCTGTACAACTGGAGTGGTCCTTGTGGACAAGAGATGTGGAGGAAGATATAATTCCAACTTGCAGGTGAGGATTAACTTGTGCCCTTGAGCAAACTTATCTGTTTAGGGAGTAGCAACATTTGAATTCTTAATCTAATTCTTCTTATAATTTTTCAGAGAACTTGGAATTGGGATTGTTGCATACAGTCCTCTAGGAAATGGGTTCTTCTCATTAGGTTCAGGGATTGTTGCGAAGGAGTTACCTGACACTGACTACCGAAAGGTTTGTTTGTGCTTATAACACAATCTTTTTGAGCTTGACTATGAAATCATCTATTATTGTATCTCAAGTATCAGAATTGGTTGATTTCATCACCATCACCATGTGACCGTGAATACACCTAAATTTCGTGTCTCCATCTTTGTATTACAAAGTCCTAATTTGTATATCATCCACTTGGTATAACTGCTTCCATGGCTACCATGGCAGTATGAAAAGAAATGAAGACCAGTTGAAACAATCGTTTAAGGTTGGCGTAATCACTGCAAGAAGATTGATCGACTGTTTTAGCTTTTAATAATCTATATATTCAAGATGAAAGAAAGCAATCTTATTTAGATTTTTTGAGTCTCCTTTCCATGGAAGAGGCTGGTCTACCCATTAACTATGTTGTTATCAGAATTTACTTTGACGACACATGCTGGCATCAAAATCACAACAATGGTTGCGTTGGTTCCTCCAAAATCTCCTTCGGCAGATCCTGATGTATGTGTTTTCTATGTCTGGTAGGTTCTACCAAAATTCCAACCAGAGAATCTCGAGCATAATAAAAATCTTTATGAGCGGGTTAGCGAAATGGCTGCAAGGAAGGGATGCACCCCATCACAACTAGCATTGGCTTGGGTCCATCATCAAGGAAATGATGTGTTTCCGATTCCAGGTACAACCAAGATTGAAAACTTCAACCAGAACAATGGAGCTTTGTCTGTAAAGCTAACACCTGAAGAAATGGCTGAGCTTGAATCCATTGCTGAAGCAGTTAAGGGTGATAGATATCCACCCACATTTCCTACTTGGAAGACTGCAAACACTCCGTCCTTGTCCTCATGGAATGTTGAATGATGGCATTTCTTTTTCCATGTGAAAATCATGTCATGCCTTTTTTTCAATAATATCCGTGTTGCTCTTAAGTGAGTTCTCTTTTTCAACCTTGTCTCAGTAAAATAAGACCTCCTGAATGACTATATGAGGAGAGTCGTTTGTCAATTGGTGATTTATTAGATGCTTTAATATGATATCAAAGTTACATTTCGGGCGGTCTTGGTATTGTCGATTTTCTATTTTATTTATTTTGTATGGATTTCTTTCATTTGTGCCATAAATGCTCATTGTTATATTTTTGTTTAGATGACTGGATTTTTCTTTGTACATCTCCCTCTGCTATGGTGTGAGTGTTCGTAGAGTACTTGAACTAACAACCAGTTGCAAAGCAAGTCACATATGGAAATGGTTTGAAATTAGATTTCTGCAATGCTAATACAATTAAGAAGCGAGTACCAAATTTCGATGAGTAATCAATACAGATCCATACTAGTTCAAGTCGAACAGAACTATCAATACAATTTTTGAAGGCTCATTATAGGCAACAAAACCCAACAAAAACAGATACAAGTAATATAACCACATAGAATGCATCAAGTTTTAATGTAAATACATAGTGTATGTCCTATAGGGGACTAGTGATTGAGTTATGAAACAAGAAGAATCCATGCTCACCCTCAAACAAACAACAACAACTCAATCCATTCTATGTTTTAACACGCCTTAAAATCGTAGCTAAGCAACAAATATGCTGAAAATATATGATTGAAACTCTTTAAAACTGTTGAGAGCAAACATTTACTTCATTGCAAATGATTTCATTTTCTAATAATGTATTGGAAATAATATGGGAAACCAAATGCACTAATGAGTAAATGAAACATACCCCCATACCAAAACTGAACATCTTGCTGAGTGCAAAAGGAACTCATGGCAAAACCAGAACCTACACGTACTGTTTCTAATTAACAAGGAAAATCAGCTACAATAATTGTAGCATCAAATGAAACGGCCCATGATTTGGCAGTAAGGTTATGATGGGATAATTCCCAACGGCTGGCTGTGCCGCTAAGCTGCACTAACGATGCTGGAAATGTACTCAACAAGGAATCTGGAAATTTAACAGCAGGCTCTATGACTGAAAATCGTATACACGTACACATAATGGGTATATGCCAATATCAAAATAGATATTGCAATCGTCACATGTGGAAAATTTTATATACTTAAACTTCTTGCCTATTCAATGTTATATACATTTCCAATTACATTCTGGAGTTAAAAACAAATATTAATAGGAACTAGTTCATGACTTCAAAGCTTCTGTTCAATCTCCCCGGCTTTCATGCACAGTATGTAGCCATCCCTCTACGTATGTGTGTCTTCATCATAGATGGATGATTCTCTTGATCCAGAACTGATTATCAGTGGCAATGTTTCAAGACTTCTGATTTCGGATTCCAAATTGTTAATCATCAAGTCTCCAGGCAATCCACTTCTCCATTCCTCCATGTCAAAACACAGATCACTTTGAAGGAATGTGTCCCTTTGTCGTAAATCGATGATTCTACTCCAGGAGTGATTGTCAAGGACGATGTTGCAAGAGGTATGCTCCATTCCCCCATATTAGAACACAGATTACTTTCAAAAATCTGTGTCTTTGTACTACAATGATGATTTTGATTCGGAAGTGACTGTCGAAGGCAGTGTTCCAAGAGGCACGGTTCTAGATGCCGCATTATCCATATTCATCAGGTTTTCAAGCAGACTAGTAACGGTTCCTCTATGTTTGAACCTGTAGTGCTCCAAGAACCTGTGTGTGGTGGTATATCATTTATTTCGATCCAAAACTCTTTGTCCTATATTCTACAATGTCAATCACGGGGTTTTCTGGCAAACTGCTTCTGAACTGATAGCCAGTGGCGATGTTAGGTATGATTATATATTTCACATTATAAAGCATCAGGTCTTTAGGTAAACCATCCACATTGTCAATCTCAATCATCAGGTCTTTAGGATCAAAACAAAGATCGGTAGAATCTCTGCTGTTTCCCATAAATTGGTAATTCTACACACAAACTATTTGTCAATGGCAATGCCCCAAGAGGTATGGTTCTAGATTCCACGTTGTTATCGATGTAGTGGTTTTCCATAGGTTGAGTTCGTTCTTTCTATGCTATCAATATTTTCATCCTCATTCTGTTGAATTTGGCAAACTACTAAGTTCATTGCAAAATATTCAAACTTAAAGTAAGCTGTTTGTTGAAATTAAAACCTAATAGAGTGAGTTAAAAAATTGAGAAGTTGAGGGACTCTAAAGTGACACAACTCAAAGATTGGAGGCCAAACTGACACAAAGTGTAAATCTAGGGACTAAAAACATATTTTATTCTTTTTGCTAAATTCTCTAGTGCTACTAAAGTTTTTAGTGAGTGGAATTTGGCGCATTTCAATTTTTGGGCATTCGACAATTGGTTCATAAACGTCTTGAAAAATTGAAAACCCACAAAATTGGGAGCCGATAACACTGTTGCTGCCATGACAATCAAAATTCCATTGATAAAAAATTTACGATGGCCAACATGGAGAGTAAGGGTGTAAATTCTGACCGGTTGATACGAATTTGACATGAATTTGATGTGCAAGATTATTAAATACGTATAATGAATAATTTATACTAATATTTTAATACACGACATGCGGGTCACACGAACATGAAACGATTGACACACTGAAAGTATTTCTAACTTTGACTCAAATTTAGATTTAAATTTAAACTTGAGTTAAAAATTGCTCAGAAAACTTCTCTAACCTAAGACCCAAACCTATATCAAATCAAAGAAAAATTTATTCTAAATCTGAATTGAGAAAGACTTAAATTCTATATTAAATTTTCAATAATAACTTTTTACCTTATTTAAAACTAAAAAACTCATTCGACGAAACAAATTCTTGCCTCTCCCTACCTCTATCTTCAAAGACGGTCCCATCACTGACCACCCCAAAACATTCTGAAAGACTAGTAGATAAACGTCTTCTGTTTCACTATCCATCGGATTGTTTGATTAATTGTTATCGTTGATTTTGGTTGATGGATTTTGGATACGTGTGCAACCTAGGTGGGTTAATTTGAATTCAACCCCGAAAAAAATAGTGGTATAGTTGAGGTTTTTAGGATTAGGGTTAAGGTTGAAAAGTTTCAACCCAAATTGAATTTGGGCAAGATTAAATTTCACGAGTTTAATCCGAACTCAATCCGAATTGATGCAATCGGGCTCAACCCGAATTCATGTGCTATATATAAATAAACAATATAATAATAAAAAATACATATTTTGTAATAATTATATTATTTAAAGGGAAAGTGAAACATAATTTATAAGAATTATAGATGGTGAAAGAAGTTTAGACAAACCGATGTTTGATAATTAAAAAAAAGCAAAAGCTTATTAAAAAAAAAAAAGTAAAAAAGGCAACTCGCCCCCTCAACTTGTGTAAGTTACACCCCTAATTATATTATATAAAAAGTATAAGTACGATATCAAAAAATTACAACACCATAACTAGACATGTATATATAACATGTATCACACCATCTCACTGTCAAGTTTTTTGATGTATCTGTATAACTGATTATAATGATTCTCATTTATGAAGTGAGCTTTGCAGACTACAGATCGGTCATACACAATCTCATGGTGGAGTTCATAAAGTTGATTAATCAAATCTTCTCATCCTCTTCAGGTGCGCGGCAGTAGAAAATAATGCAAAACAAAATACAACCAAATAAATAAATAATCCACAGAAAGTATGCTTTGGATTCAAATAGTTCTTCAAAATCTACTTCAATACGGAACGAATAGACGGTTGTTACCATAATAAAAAAAAATTTCCGATACAGGATACTATTGATTCAAAATGTTACAAGCAATTCTAATCAACTCCATTGAGTCATAATTTGAATCCGAATTGGATCCAATTAAATCTTGACTTGTGACATGGGAATCAGAAGTTGCGTTTGATTGGGTTGTCTTTCAGAAGTTTTTTTTTTTTTTCTTTTTTTTTTTGGCGGGTCCCAAGTATGGAGGTCGATAGAGAAAGGATCGGGGTAATGTAATGACACCCGATGGATTTTTATGTTCTCCTGAGCCGGGCTCACCATCTCCATGGACTGAAACAAGTTTTCGGTGTAGATAAGTAGGTGAAGGAAACAAGAATGAGTGCTATGGCCTAAGATTTGGAGATCCTTAAGAACAAGTTGGGTACTAGGATTATACAAGAGTAGGTGGCCAGTTGGAGTTTCAAGAATGACCTCATCATTCTTCCACAACCCAGCTGGAATCATCATCCCATGGAGCGGTCCGATACTTAATTGCTTGATCCAACATCCCGTTCCCTCCTCCTCCTCCATCAGTACCCACACGACAACTGATGACTCCTCAACTGATTCCCAGGAATCTAATGACACTAGTGAATGAGAATAAATCAGAGCAATATAGCTGTTGTACAACGTAAGAATCTCGCTGTCCGAGTCTTGGTGAAGATCAGGTGGCCCTTGAATCTCTCTGAACTCCTCTTTGCCCATGTCAAACGAAACCAGCTTTCTATATAAAGATTTAGACCACCAGTAATAAACACCATTCAAGTATGAATCGTTGCAAGAATCTATCAAAAAATGTAGACAATCGGGAGCATCACCCTTGAAATCTTTCCATGAATCTGTGCTTAAAGTGTACACAGCAACATGTATGGGATCCATCCATGGGCCCCTTTTAACGGTGTTCCTGTCATCAAAAGTCCGAATCCAAACTACCTTGTAATCATCATTGGTGGGATCTAACCCGAATCCAAAGCCGCAGTGACGAGGGATCCAGTCACGCGGAAATAATTTCGTGCACCACAATGGCAGAGCCCTGAATGCTCTTGTCGCGGGATTCCACATAGCAATGCGATCAAGTCCGTCACATAGGCAAAAAACACCGTTAATAGGACCACCAAGCCGATTAAATACGGGGAAGGATATCCCCATATTGTGATATGTGGGCACCGTAAGTGTTTTGTCCGGGAACAAGACGATGTGCCCCATGTCCCTAAGCTCATTGTGATAGTATACAACCATACGGGCATTGCCCTTGTTGTGTTTTAAATGAATAGAAATGAAAGCAGGACTATCTATTAGATTTTTCCAAAATTTGCAGACACACCTGAATTGCAATAGAGATTTCACAGACATTCTTGACAATATTATGCCTTCCTATCGAAAAAAACTTGAATATTTTCAAGATAAATCAGAATTATTATCACTATATATACGATAAGGTGGTGTGGTAGATTATTCCGGAAGCATAACCCTTTGTATAATAAACAAAATTTTCATGGTAGTTGGATTTAAAACCTTATACGCATATCCTGGTATCATAATTTATAAGTTGATTGGAGTTCATAGTTCTCAATACTACTTGTCAATATAATTATTCTTGTTTCTTATTTGGCAAATAATCCAAGACTTGGCGCTGAATCTTTTTGTTGATAATAAGCATCACTTATTCCAAGGGAATGCCATTTGATTCATGCCTCGTCACAACTGAGCTCACAAGGGAATAAAAAATAATCATTTATTTGCTATTGTAGCACAACCTAACGGAGCAGACATACCAGAAGTGTGTTAAAGGACTCTTCTCTGCTTTTTCCTCTTGGGTTATGAGCATTGTAATGGTACCATCAAATTCATCTTTTGGGAGACAAATAACCAGATGATTGTGCTGAAATAGCATTAGGGTGACGTACTAATTTCAGTTATAGTGAAATACAAGTTATGTTGTGGTTGCATGTGGTGTGTTCTCTAAATCATATGGCATGATTAAGAGTTACTGTGTCGGAAAATTAATTACGTGTGGGGATAAATGATGTGAAATTTGTGCAGATGTATTACTTAGAGAGTGTAGTGTAAAATTAGTGGGGTGTGTTTTAATCAGAGGACGCAGTGGTAGCATTTGACTTTCTGATCGTTAAAAATTTGGGAAAATTTTGTAAAAGACGGAGTTTGTAATTACCCTGTTCCTATAAGTAAGCGATCAAATAGTGCGGGGTTCAAATTATAATTAGGTGCATGGAATACAACTTGTAACATTTAATTAAAAACAATACCATTATGACAAACTGTATTCGTAATTCCATTTGGCAAGTTGTAAGGCTTGACTTTGCCAGCACAATTCATATAGTCACTTGTGGATTGTGTGGATTATTCAAGAAGAGGGGGGGCAGCCATATAAGGTGTCTCCATGTGACTATACTTGTGGTAAAGATGATTAACTGCTACTATAGTTGTGGTAAAGATGATTGATGCAAACACAGGCTTTATTATCTCATGGAGTATGTTGTATCAGCAGATCATAGTTTATTATGTCTCCATATGTTGAAATATAGCATAGTTCTATGCTGGATTGTATTCTGTAGTTCTATATTTTGAATCTAAATGTAGTATTGTTCTGAATCTACTTTTTTTTTGCTCCTTTTATGATCGGGGATCCGAGGAATGGCTTCATTAGGATTTTGGTTGTTCATGAGTTTTCCTGGTTTTTTTCCTTTGTTTTGGGGGTGGGGGGGGGGGAGGAGGGGGGGGGGAGGGGTAAGAGAGGTGTTGTTCAATACATTTTAGGACATTACAATGTATGTTTTGCCAAATCAGAATCTACAAAATTGGCCGCCTGTGACACTGTATGGATGCTATGACAGTCAAAATTTCATTGTTAACCAATTTTAGGATGGTTGAATGCTAGAATGTATTGGAATGACTTAGGGACATTATGCGAGTTGTCAAATTTGCAGTTTCATTATCCCAGAATTGCATCAAAGTTTATCCAAATGACACATATATAACACAAACGTAATAATACTTCTGTATATATGGTAGATAGGAACTTTAACAGCAGAAGTACTTTAATACTGATTTTGAACCTACAATCAGTCTGCTTTTTATTTCATCATAGGTTCGCCAGTGTTATTGTGATAATGACTGCGAACCAGTTCCTTCAAGTCTTTGAGCAGCAATGACCTTGCAGAAATGAAATATAATACATGTTAGTATCTACTTTTAAGTTAAACAAAGGAAGAATAAGAATTCGAAAGAAAGAGATAGATAGGAGGAAACGAAAGAGGCAAAACAAATCCAAGAACCAACCTCAGGGGAATAGGATATATCTCTTCCCACAAGTCCACGTTTTAACCTTCCATGTGCATGAGACAGGGCTATTTGCTTTAGGGTCAAAGCATACATATACCTCGTTAAGCATAAAATGGCCATTCTTTTTGTGGCATGTAAGCCAAATTTTATTGCCGATCCCGAGAACATTTTCAAAGGCTTCAAAAATGGCTTTTTGTGTGTAAGGATTGGAGGAACCCGGAAGAATGTTTGCATATTGAAGGATATTGAGAGGACTGATGTCATTCTTTAGTTTGATAGCCTTCTTATAGTAATCACGGGGTTGGAACTCTTTTTGACAGCAACCGTGTTCCGTCCATTCGTGCCACCAGAAGTCCTCATTAGTTTTCCTAGCCTTGAGAGATGGCCAGTATTTATCCATATCTCCTCTTATGTCCTTGTACTGCAAGTATAAAACAAAAGGAAAATGCAAAGAATGCTTAGAAAATAAAGCAAATTAAGCAGGCTGTATCGCGACAGTACTCTAGGGAGAGGAGTTGGTTCGAATAAAATTTTAATCAACTTAAATTTTAATAAGTAAAAAAAAATTTAATTTTTAATCAATTAGAATTTTAACAAGAAAAAAATAAATTTTAATTAGTTCGAATTAAATTTTATTCGGCACGAATTTTAACAAATAAAAAAAGATAAATTCAATCAACTCAAATCGAAGTTTAATCAGCACTAGCATCTCATGTTAAAATCAAATCGCTTCAAATTTTAATTTGTAAAAAAAATTAAAAAAGTGATTTTTTTTATTAATTTGATGAAAGTGAATTTTGCAATCTATTCCAATTTTTTTTGAATATATCAAAATTATTATTATTTTTTTAGAATATATCAAAATTATTATTTCAAATATATCAAAATAATAATTATTATTTTTATTTCCAAAATACTTGTGATCTATCCAAGAGCATGTGATCTATCGCAAGGTTACAGTAGTCTTTCCTAAAACTTAATGAAAAACGTGAAGTTTGAGATTGATCACAAATATCTATGATCGATTATAAGGTCACTAGAGTAAGATTTAACAAAATTATGGGGAAGTTACAACAATTAAAAGCAAATTTACCATTTTAAGTCAAGCTTACAACAATTATGGATAAATTTACAAGTTTAAAGATTGATTTACGACTGTTCTGATTAATATTACGACTGTTTTGGTTATTCTTCTGACAATTCTAGGTAACATTACAAGGATTAAAAGCAAATTTTTGACAAAAAGAGATTAAATTAAAAACATGATATATAAATTTACCACTACTGTGGTATTTTTGGCATATATACTCATAATTTTGATCACTATTGTTGTATTTTTGCCACAATTATTGTATTTTTGGCCACAACTGTTGTAAACTTAGAATGATTGTGGATAAGATTACGAGTGTATATGCCAATTTTTCTATAATATTTTGGTTAATATTATGATAATTTTGAATAACAATACAAATTTAAAGTAAATATATGACATCGATATAATGCATTAATGTCGTATTTACGACAATTGTGGTTACATATGTTAATCATACTTTTACCATCATAGCGGTTAAAGTATACCCACTATTAATTTTTAGATCATTTTAACAATTCAATTAAGTGACCTGCACCAATTTAATAACACAATAAACCAATAACAATACAACTTAAAATTAATTACAATAATAATTACAGTAAAACAAAAGAAAGCCATAGGCATAAACATCAATTCATCATAATTATTGCACAAATACAATAACAATTATTTATATTTAAATCATATGAAACACATCAAAAATCATAACTGCTCATATATATATATACTATTAATTTTTGGATCCTTTTAACAATTCAATTAAGTAACCTGCACCAATTAAATAATACAATAAACCAATATCAATAAAACCTAAAATAATTACAATAACAATTACAGTAAAACAATAGAAAGCCCAACAAACTCATCGTACGACCTCAAATTCATTCATCTAACGATTACAAATATTTCAATCATTTGCCCCCAATTTCATTACTTTTTACTCATATATTTTTTTCAAAATCAAACCTCCTCTCAATCACCTCACTGATCAGACATGTCGGCTTTCCTCTGTTGGGTTTCTTTTGTGGAGTCTAGTTTGTGTGTGATTCGGATGACGACCCGACCTGAAATAATGTTGTGTGATTTTTAATAAAAATTTTATGAGACTTAGTCCATGGAGCGGAGGTTTGGGTCGATAGGACATATATAAACCGTTATTCGGTGATATAAACTGTTATTTGGTAGCCTTTTGCGCATGACATATATAAACTGTTATTCGGTGATTAAGGTTTTTGAATTGATTCTGTACGGTTGCTACCCTCTCTGTATTCTTTCTTGAGAATAGTGAAATTCTTGCAGTTTCGTGGACGTAGGCAAATTGCCGAACCACATAAATTTTGTGTTGTGTGATTGTTTGGATTGCATTCTTATCGTTCTTTTTATTAATTTAACTTTATTGTCATTGTTTGATTTCACAACAATTAGTATCAGAGCCAAGGTTCGGGTCTGAAACAAACAATGACTAGAGAAGAAGTGAAGACAACTGAGATTGAGAAGTTCGATGACACAGATTATGGGTACTAGAGGATGCAGATAGAGGACTACCTCTGCGGGAAGAAACTTCATCTTCCACTATTGGGGATGAATCCAGAGAGTATGAAGGATGAAGATTGGAAATTGTTAGACAAACAAGTTCTGAGGGTTATTCGGCTGATCCTTTCAAGATTAGTTGCACACAACGTTACCAAGGAAAATACCACTGTAGATCTCACGGCGGCTTTGTCAGGTATGTATGAAAAGCCTTCTGCGAATAACAAGGTGCATCTAATGAAAAAGTTATTCAATCTGAGGATGACAGATGGGACGTCTGTTACACAACACTTGAATGAGTTCAATACCATCACTAATCAATTATCATCTGTTGAAATTGAATTTGATGATGAGATTCGGGCTTTGATATTGCTGGCATCACCGCCAAACAGTTGGGAAGCCATGAGGATGACTGCTAGTAATTCTGCTGGTAAGATGAAACTTAAATACGATGATATTCGTGATTTAATTTTGGCCGAGGAAGTGCACATGAGAGATTCTAGTGAGACCTCGGGATCGAGTTCTGTTCTTGATGTTGATACTCGTGGGAGGTCATATAACAGGAACTACTCAAATAGAGGAAGATCAAAATAAAAAAATAGGGGCAAGAGCAAGTCAAAATTTGGACAGCAACAGACAGGACAACATTAGAGAACTTGTTGGAATTGTGGCAAAACTGGCCACATAAAGAAGAATTGCAAAAATTTGAAAAAGACAGAAGACGATGGTGCAAATGCAAGACACACTACTACTTGCCGTTCATAGTTCATTTGATGACTAGATATTGGATTCAGGGGCATCTTTTCATACCTCCTCTCACCGAGAAATCATGCGGAACTATGTTGTTGGTGATTTCGGGAAAGTGTACCTGGCTGATGGATAGGCACTATCGGTAGCGGGGATAGGAGATGTTGATATTACACTTCCTAATAGGAACGTGTGGACCTTGCAGATGGTCAGGCACATTCCCGAGTTGAACAAGAATCTTATCTTTGTGGGACATCTCAGCGACTGTGGTCACTCACTAGTGTTCTCAAATAACACCTGAAAAGTTTCTAAAGGAACACTGGTGTTGGCCCGAGGTAGCAAGACTGACACTTTGCACATGACAGACGGTTCCAGTGATACTATTGCCACCACCACTGTAGAGAGTACTGCAGAGCTGTGGCATTGCAGAATTGGTCATATCAGTCAAAAAGGCATGAAGGAACTTGTGTCAAAAGGCAAGCTACTAGAACTGAAAGCAGTTGATTTGGGCATATGTGAGAGCTGTATACTTGGGAAGCAGAAAAAGGTCAGTTCTTGAAGAGTGACAGAGCTCTAAAATTAGGAAAGCTGAATTTTGAACACACAGATGTATGGGGACCCTCCCCAGAACATTCCTTAGAGGTTCTTGATACTATGTCACGTTCATTGACAGCCATAGTAGAAAGGTATGGGTTTATTGTTTGAAACATAAATCTGACGTGTTTAAAAAGTGGAAGGCCCTAGTTGAGATGGAGACAGGCCTAAAGCTAAAATGCTTAAGGTCTGACAATGGCGGAGAGTACATTGATGGAGGATTCAAGGAGTACTGCGCAGCTCAAAGTATCAGAATGAAGAAGACCATTCCTAGGACACCATAGCAAAATGGCGTTGCTGAGCGCATGAACAGAACCATCAATGAGTGTGCCAGGAGCATGAGATTGCATGCAGGGCTACCACCTACATTTTGGACAAAAGTAGTGAACATTGTAATATACCTGATCAATTGCGGACCATCGGTTCCATTGGAGTGCGGACTACCTGAAGAGGCCTGAAGTGGAAAAAAGGTTAAAATTTCTCATCTTAGAACCTTTGGTTGTGTTTCTTATGTTCTTGTTGATGCTAATGCTCGCAGCAAGCTTGAGGCGAATCAATAAAATGCTATTTTATTGGTTATGGAGATGAGGCATTTGGTTATCGATTTTGGGATGAATAGAGTCGAAAGATCATTAGGAGCAGAAACGTGGTGTTCAATGAGAAAACTATGTCGAGGACAAGTCCAGTACAGTTGTTGATACAACTCCTCAATAGGCCGAGCTTGTCGACCTACTAGAGGTCACAGTGCAGTGCAGGGACAACAATGATGGTAAGAGTGGGTCTAGTGTGCCCATTCCCATTATTCCGCAATTAGATCCTGAACTATCCATACCTGCAGCAGCTACTCGGAAGTCTTCTAGGAGTATCCGACCCCCATAACGATTCTCACCTATACTAAGTTACATTCTGTTGACAGATGGTGGAGAACAGTAGAATTATGAAGAAACATGACAAGATGAGAATTCGAGCAAGTGGGAGTTAGCCATGAAAGATGAGATGGATTCCCTGCTAGGGAATCAGACATGGGAATTGATAGAACTTCCATCTGGGAAGAAAGCTCTACACAACAAGTGGGTATATCGTGTGAAGACTGAGCATGATGGTAGTAAAAGGTACAAGGCAAGGCTAGTTGTAAAAGGCTTTCAACAGAAGAAGGGCATTGACTACTCTGACATCTTCTCTCCTGTAGTGAAGATCACAACCATCAGGCTAGTGCTGACAATTGTTGCTACTGAAGATTTGTATCTTGAGAAGGTAGATGTGAAGACGACATTCCTTCATGGTAACTTGGAGGAAGACATTTACATGATTCAGCCGGAAGGGTTCATTTTTTAGGGACAACAGAATCTAGTATGTAAACTGAGAAAGAGCTTGTATGGCCTAAAACAAGCTCCAAGACAGTTGTACAAGAAATTTGACAATTTTATGTGCAATTT